ACACTGAGCCTCTTGCAAGAACATTTTTGTATTCTTAACCTAAAACTCTCTCCCTTTTTTCTTTGAGGTTTGCTTGTATACCTGTTTCAAATCAGACCTACAAACACTCTAAACTGCACAAACCTTCGTGAACTATGACCAAAATATATAGGAGTGCTGTCGAACAGACTGATACGTCGTAAATGTAATATATTATATATAAAATAATATTTGTTTCAGCAGTGAGTTATGCCCTAAAGCTGCTATGTAATGCTCCCTATTCTGCTTTCTTTGCAGGCGGGTTTCATTCACAAAAATGTTGTTCCCACTAAGGAGCTTCAAGTCCTGCTGTCAGAAATCAGCAGACACAAAGATAATGAGTTTAGCGGTGTCTTCATGGTAGTATTACAGGACCCAAAACAATTAGAAAATATTAATAGTCAGAGCTGTACTGTGACATGCATAAGCACAAAACCATCTTTCTAAAGTAAAGCAGTCCATAACTAATAGGATAGGTGGTTACAAAGATGTGACAGTCACAATGATAATATAATGTTCTACCGACTACTGAAATGTATAAATTATATCTTAAAAACCTCTCAGTGAATTGATGATGATGATAATATGGTAAATTATTTGATATTAGTAGTAATGAAATGGTAATAATGGTCATAAAAGACACTGTACCTTGACCATACGCCCCTGAGGACAGCAGCAAGAGGACACTGAGCAGAAAGCACAGCATTACACAGAAAGATGATGATGATGATGATGAAGCAAGGAGGTGAAGAGACATGAGTAGAGCCTAGAAAGATGAAAAAACAATGCTATGAATATTTAAAATGCTTATTCAATTCTTTTTCATTTATATTATCATAAAATTGTATTTATTATATGTACAGTGGTCAACTGAGTAGAGTCTAATAATCTGCATTAAATGACATCAGACAATGCCAAAACCAAACCGCCGGGGCAACGCAAAGTGAAGCAGCAGAGATTCCCATGGGAACTCTTTTATGGCTGACTCAAAGTACAGGTCCTTCAGTGCTCGTCCCCTTTACAGACCCTCAAACTTCACACAGCTAATGACACACACAGCGTGTAATATTAACAAACACGCAGCACTTTAAGAGGCCATAAAACTAACACGCCTCTGAGAGGGCCAACATTTAACAGTGCACAAAAAGTTGAAATGCCTTCTGAACATCTGAAGCTTATTCTCTCTTGAAGAATTATATCAAGCACAGTTGTTAAGAGACTTTGTATTCTCTCTGCTATACATCTGTATGCGGACAACATGACTAGGTATTTTTTGCATTTGGAATCAAAAGGGTAAATGATAAGAGCCTGACTCCAACAAAACATAACGCTAATACACTGGAAAACTGCAGGAAAAGTTGTGTAGGCAGATGCTCTTTAGAAAACAAGGGCAACTCTGACATTTGTTCTTTGTCAATAAGAACATTGTTCAACAAAATGCAAGCAGAACAAAGCTACCGTTAACTATCTGATAGCTCAGCTATTATACTGGAGTTCACAGACTTGTGATCGGGTGTGTGCCACTTATTCAGGGTTGTTTCTATAAAGTGCAGAACTAAAAACCTGCAAACAGCATATTGACAGCTTTACTGACAACGTAATGAGCGTTTAAACTCTATGTCCTGCCACTATACATTTCTATATACATATATATACACATATATACTATATACAGCAATACAATAATCATTTCTACAGGGATCACACAGAGGTCATTTCAAGCACTTTTCAAACACTTTTAAGGTACCTAAACCAAACATTTCCCAACTCTGGAATCACATCTAAATTGTTACCAAGAATGCAACAGCAAAAAAATATTAATTTCTTTAAACCCACAAAAATCTATGCATATTGTCACTTTTTTAATTAAATTTTAGTTTATGAACATTGTATGTGTGTTTTGATCATGATTATATAATGCCTTATGCCTTAGGACTTATCTAGCTATGAATGACTAGTGAACACGTCAGGAGACAACAAATAAATATGATGACAGGATAGTTTTATTAATAAATATTATATATAAAAGATTTTTGGTTTATGTGAGTAACGAAACACCAGATTATGTTGAAAATCAAGAATTTCAAGAAATTCAAGCATATTTCTAACTTCACAGTTCAATTTAAGCATTTTCCAAACTTTCAAGACTTTGTACGAACCCT